CAACGTGCGGTGTCGTATGTTGTGGCCGATTACATTTTCGTGTCATGGGCTATGAGGCACGTTGATGGTAACAGTAGAATTAGGGTGTTAGCAGGGACGATTTATAGTACAAAATGTCGAAATAGGTTGGTATATGAGGGGAGATGGGAGAGAGACTTCCCGCCTGAATATAAAGCCTTGGAGTTACGAGATTTGAGATGGTTGTGAGTGTTTAGTGGGTAATCTAACGGTCTGGTCAGCTGTGTCTGTTTGTCAAGTGCGTGAATGTTTTGTGTTCTCAGAGTTTGTGCGTCTCCTATGTAACTGATGACAAAATATCTTACGTGCTTTGTATATACAACTTTTAGGAATGTTTCTCGTCTTTTATGCCTCAATTACAAGTCAATGGTGTACTTTTTGTATATGGTGTGCTTCCTAGCACAGTTGAAAAGTTTTTCTTATTTCCGTTTATACTTTATGCCGTGTCCGTGTGCTTTTCAATAATATATGTATATATGCAAGTTTGTTTTCCTGTAAGCTGTGATGGAGCTTGAACTATATGTGGAGGTAGTATTTTTCAATGTGTGCATCTTGTCAGTGTATAAGTTCACTTATAGCTGCTGGCATTTGTGTTTTATTGAAATGTCAAATATCAGTGTATTTTCGTTTTGTTATATTAAATATTTTCATTGTAGTAAATGGTAGCGTCATCCTGATCCACCTTTGAACTGTAGTGCCTATTCTTAGTCCATGATAACCCCGTGGTAGTCGCCCAAATTAACGTATTGTTGTGCACTATAAGGCACCCGAGTTCTTAGATTAAGTCTTGGATACGTTGTGTGTTGGCAGGCGGAAGCCACGCCTAGTAATATGCCAGATGAAGTATCCCGTTGTATAATACGTGATTGCTTGTGTATGTGTGTAATTCTGTGTGCTTGTTTTGTCATTGTTTATTTGTATAGTGTTTATTTTCCTGTGTTTCGACTGATTTATATAAGAATCTAGCATGTGCCTGGTATCTCGTTGACATTTATTTTATGCACCCATAATTTTTTTTTTGTACCCGAGTTTCAAATAAAAAATTCTTATTGTATAGGGGCTAATTTTGGGCAGAGCATGTACTTGTTTTTAACTGAGATTGTGATGTAGGTCATTACTCTGATTATATACTGTGAAGGTTGTCAACCTTTGTCATATGTCAGTCACAGTATGTTAACTATACAAATGTGAAAGGTTTATATAATTTACATTTTATATAGTTTATATAGTTATAGTTTATATTATAGTAGTATGTTGTATGAAAATTTTGGTGAATGTATATGGGTAACCTCTTATGTCCATTACAATGTGTTGTTAAAACTTGTTCGTGTATGTTGTGTAGGATTGAGGATCCTACTGTACCCATTTTATATCTTTATTATTAAGCTGTAAAGTTTTTTTAAATAAAATATATAAAAATGTAATGTGTTTGGGATGTTTAGTTTGTATATATTATACTAAATTCATCATTTATTGTCGTGTATGCAATGTTGCAAATGTTTTTGGGATGTGGAGACTGCGTTTTTAAAATCTTCGCATATATGTACATAAAATGCTAATATACAATAGAATTGCGACTGCAGTGCATTAGTTTACAAAGTTATGTATATAAAGTTTTCATACACTGAATAAGAATTTCAGGTTGGATTGTAGCTATTTTCTGTTTAAGGTATGTTTAGGTAGAGGTTGTCAATGTTTAACATGCATGTATAACTTGCTAAAAAAAAAAAAAAAAAAAAAAAAAAAAAAAAAAAAAAAAAAAATTTAAAAACAATTTAAGACCTGGGCCAAGTAAAACTGTTAAGTAGTTTTATTTTATTAAGTTACAGCAAGAACGAAGGTATACTAGTTTGTAACATTCTACTCTGCACAATTGTTACTAATGAAATCACATTTCCTAGTAGGAAAAGCACAGAATGTGGATTGATTTTATAGTAAAGACTAAAAATTTAGTGTCCACAATTTATAGGTGTTAAGATTAAGACTAAAAAATGCATTAAACAATTTTTTTTTTAAACAATGGGAATTTAACAATTAACCATAGTAACGGGCAGTTGTAGAGGTGACAGTAGTAGTGGGCGATTTGGGTTATTTTTGTTATGATTTGTTGTAGCAAGTCCTGCGTCGTCACAACAGGAACCGTATGAATCTGATAAAAGTAAAAAAGTGATTAAGGGATAATTATGCGAATAGTTGTCGAATCACAAGTACGAGGACAACACAATACTAGTACCTGATGTGTGACTTCAACATGAGTTATGGTCTGCCAGTATTTAATAGTGTCAGTGACGGTAACAAACTGGCTGAATATAGACACCATAGTGCTCACGGGATTTGCTCCAACTGTAGCCGTTACAAACACTACCTGTAGGAAGATATCAAATTAAAAAGGAGTTTATTTTGGAATGTTATGAAAACATAAGAACGGCAGGTTCTCACCGGTGTTGAAATGACCCTGATTGTAGATGTTACTGTTCGTGGTTCTTGAGGAATGAAATCCCAGTGTGTTGTGGTTTGTGTCACTGTTAGAGCGAGTAGAGTTTGATCCGTGATCCAGACGTCTGATGTAGTCGTTTCCCTTAATGTGTGAGTTATAGTCGTCTGGAAGGATAGAGATTAATGTAAGAAAATAAAAATTAAAGTAAAAAAAAGATAAATTTGTATTTAGTGGGTTGTATACCTGAACAGTGAGAGTAGAAGTAGGTTGTGTAGGAACAACGATGGCAGGGTGAACTTCGTAAGTACTGATGACTTGGCCCTTTACCTGGAAGAATAAAGTTTAAAGTTTAAACAGAACGGTAAGAAAAATTTAGGAAGGGATTAGGGCAGTGCTAGAGGGTGTTCAGTTATGTGACCGTTAAATTTCCT